AGTACTCTGAGCCACTGAGCCATCTCTCCAGCATCTCCAGGAGGCTTCTGTGAATGAGTACTCTGAGCCACTGAGCCATCTCTCCAGCATCTTCAGGAGGCTTTTGTGAATGAGTACTTCCAACAGAGTTTATTAAGATGAGCACATGAACCACAAACCAGCAAAGCCTACAAGGTGTCCACCTATGTCGTTCACAAAGCTAGGCTTCAGGTGGCACCTGTTCTTCCAAAAGCATGGAGAGAAATAATCTTACAGTATTTAAAACAAATGAAAAAATTAACTCTTGGAATTTTAGAAGTGAGGGCAGCAAAATGCGGTACTCAAAACATTTATTAAAGATTTATTGCTGGGCAGTGGTGGCACGTGCTTTTAATCCCAGCACTTGGGAGGCAGAGGCAGGTGGATTTCTGAGTTTGAGCCTAGCCTGGTCTACAGAACGAGTTCCAGGACAGCCAGGAATACATAGAGAGACCTTGTCTCGGGAAAAAAAAAGTATTTATCAGTTCACCAGGCATGATGGCACATGCCTGTAACTCTTGTCTTGAGCTGGAGAGATGGCTCAGCAACTAAGAGCACTGATTACTCTTCCAGAAGTCCTGAGTTCAATTCCCAGCAACCACATGGTGGCTCACAACCATCTATAATGGGATTGGATGCCCTCACCTGGTATGTCTGACAGCTATAGTATACTCACATACATAAAATAAATAATTCTTTAAAAAAGAAAAAAATGCTTCACCAATGTGATCAGTGAAACAACACAGTAACAGGGGACATCAAACAGCTGGGACCACTGCTTCTGAGAAGCTACCTAGGTTCTCCAAAGCTTCCATAGGTACCGTGGTGCCAACTGTCCATAATTATTACTCTCCAGTAAGATCAAACTATGGTGTAGAAGGCAAAGAAAGAGGGAGGAAGGGTGGGAAAAGATTTTATTTTGGGGCATTAGTTGGTTTGGTTCAGTTTTTGTTTGTTTTTTGAGACAGGATCTCATTATGTGGCCTTGGCTGGTCTGAAGCTTGCTATGTAGACAAGACTGGCCTGGATCTCAGAGTCTGTTAGCCTCTGCCTCCTAAGGGCTGAGATTAAAGCCTTGTACCATTACACAACTTGGGATTAAAAAAAAAAAAACAACTTACAAATGGAAATATAATTTCCTAAGGCAGAATACAACCCAGTGACAGTTCAAGCTGATAGAACAACACCTCACCAATAGAGGGCACTAAAGACCTGGACAGCTGCTGCCCACAGTCACAAAGGAGATGCTGAAGGCTAGGTGCAGGAAAAACCTCAGAGTGAGAATCACTGCTGGATGTGCATGCAGCTGGGAAGATACGTCTCTGTGTTTTGTAAAACTAAGCTGCCAATAACTGCCAAGCACTGCTTCACTGGAGAAAAAGGAGAATTTTTTTGAAATTTTGAAAAGAAAAATACCACCCACCTTTACTGCTAGCTTGATTTGATCCAGTTCACCTGAAGGTATTTATCAGCTGCTAATACACTCAATGTAGATCCATATTTTTGAAGAAGCAGAGAAATAACTGCAGAGGTTTTTTTGCTTTGTTTTGTTTTGTTTTAATGGAATGTTCATTTAAACAGGAAGAGGCCAGAAATGCTGAGATTCAGGCTCCCATCCGACAGGTACTTACCAAAGTCTGAAGCTCCTTCTCCAATGTCTCCTTCACTTGATTGACTTCATTCAAACTGTCCTGCAGACTAGCGAGCATTAGCTCTTTCCCCTGGAGTTCTTTGGTAATGCTATTAGCCTAACACACCAAGTTATATGGTACATAAGCAAATGGAACAAACAAACAAACAAACAAACAAACAAAAGAAACAAAAAAGAATAAGGAAAAATAAAATGTAAAAAAAATAATGAGAAACACAACAAAACAATACTGGAAAGAGTGTTTTTTGCTGTTTCTTGCTTTGTTTTGTTTTAATTCTAAGAAACTAGTGACTTTTCAAACAATCAGTTGTAGGTATGATTGACTCATATTTTTTTGAGACAATTTCTGTATACCCGTCTGTCTGTCCTGGAACTCTCTATGTAGACCAGCATGGGCTCAAACTCAGTGTGTGCCAACAGACCTAGTTAAAATAGGTTACACTAATTTTATTTATGTGTATGTATGCTTGCCTGTGTGAGTTTATGTACATCATGGATGTGCACAAGCTTGCCAAAAGAGAGTGTCAGATCCCCTGGAACTAGACTCCAAACCTGGATCCTCTTCAAAAACAGTAAGCATGCTTAAGCAGCTCTCCAGCTTCTAATGGCATTTTTTTTCATTTGTCAAGACAGGGTTTCTCTATGTAGCCCTGGCTGTCCCAGAACTTGCTGAGTAGACCTTGAACTCAGAGATCTACCTGCCTCTGCCTCGCCAGTACTAGCACTAAAGATATGTGCCACCACCACTCTGCTCTAATGGCTATTTTTTTTAAAGGTCAAAATATACTACTCTTCTATGCCAAAATGTGAATACCATCATGGTCTAAAGAAGGAAGAGTTGGCATTTACTTCCTAAATGAGCTACCCGATCAAGTTCATTTCTGAATTTTAAAAAACCTAGCTGTATAGAATAAAAAACAAAAACAAAATCAGCTCAGTGGTAGAGCCTGTTTTGGGTTAGCATTGACAGGCCCTAGGCACATTATAATGGTGGTTTACATTATTCTGTATATTTGTATGCTTAAAATATTTCAACATGAGTCATTTAAAGATCCAGAGGACAGCCATCAGAACTCAGCTTTCCTTAAATCCTTTTGTAAAAGGGTGACCCATTGATCAGCCCAATAGTCCATTCTAACTAACTTGCTTTCTTTTTATTGCTACTTCATAACCACCTAACATTAGAGAGACTTTTCCTATAGCTAGTTTACTTCCAAGTACAGTTACTTAGCAGACTTTTGCTATTTATCTGTCATCATCTCTCCTCATTTAGCCACCAGAACCCTTTCTTCTTTGTCAACAGAACAGCTTCCTCCACAAAAAATCATTCATCACCAATACCAGAGCCTCAACTAGTGGAAGGACTGGGGAAGAATATCTTGAGGAACTGAAGCTGACATTTAACAGGGCTGGATAACAGGAAATGTCGCCAGTGGACACTTTAGTTCCTAATCCTTGATAAACAACACACTAGTCTCCTCAACTCCCCAAACAATATGCCCAAAAAGGAACAGCCAGAGGACTGGAGGCATATGTCTGTTGTAATCCCAGTACTTGGAAGCCCAAATACGAGGACTACTGAGAACTCAAAGCCAGTGTAGGCTATAAAGCCAATCCTAGACCAACCTGGGCTACAAAGTGAGACCCTGTACCAAACAAACAAACAACAACAAAAACAAACCCCACAAGGGACAGGGATATAGTGATACATGTTGTAGTCTCAACACCTGAGAGGAAAGGCAAAAGGATCATGAATTTAAGGGTATCTTGGGGTACATAGTAAGACCCAGCCTCAACTTAACAGCCACCTCCAGAAAGCAAAGGTTAGATGGTATGGTGGTTTGAATGAGAATGGCCCCCACAGGATCATGTATATTTGAATACTAAATCTCTTTAGTGGAACTTTGGAAAGGATTAGGAAGTGCCCTTGTTAGAGGCGGTATATGATGGGGGAGGGGCAGGCTTTAAGGTTTCCAAGTCTCTCATTCAAGCCATGCTTACGGATTGAGAGGTAAACTCTAGGCGTGTGCTCCAGCACCATGTCTGGCCACCTGCTGCCACGCTCCTGCCAGGATGATCACGGGACTCTCACTTCTGAACTACAGTTCCCGGAGAAGCTCTTCCCTCTCTAAGCAGCCATGCCTTGGTCATGGCATCTTAGCACAAATGGACGGTTTCTTCATTGTGGCATAAAAGTATGGTAACGGTGCAAACAGCTCTGGGCTCCTGCCCTTACTTTGTTGTGAGCATTGCTTACCATAGCATGCTGACTTATACAGTAGTTAAGAAGCTCTCTGAGTTCATGTTCTACTTTTATACATAAATAACCCTATAAGCAAGGGAGTGATGTGGGCAGAAAGGAAATAAATAAGCTTAGAGAGTGATTTTTGTTTTGGTTGATTGTTTCTGTTTTGTTTTGACAGGGTTTCTTTATGTAGTCCAGGCTGGCCTGGAACTGAACTGGCAAACTTCCTGCCTCATCATTCTAAGTATTTATTATACGCATGCACCACCATGTCCAGCCTGCGCCTGTGTCCCTGTCACTCATTCACCTTAACATCACTAGTTTAGGAGTCAGCTCTACTTTAAACAGAGACCCTAAGCTTAAACAGGAGTTTACATCATGGCCACGAGATGAAGTAGCAAATAAAGTTTCCAAGTGATAGGAAACTAAAATTCACACGGCTGGTCGTTATTTGCTTTGCTCTCCTCAGAAGAAACCATACTTGAGATCCTCAGAAAGTATTCTATCCTACTCAAGTGGATGCACCGCACAGTTCGTGTTAACTCAGGCATTTTGGAGATGAATGACTTCAACTTAAAAGTAACATATAATGAAAATAACAAATGAAAAAGAGAAAATGAAGATGGGAGATGTCAATACAAACCTTGCTACTTTCAGCATTCCTTTCAGTCTCTAAATGTTTAATCTGATTTTCGGCCTCCTCGAGCTGCTGTCTAAGTGCCTCCAGTTCCAATTTACCTTCGGAATTGGCTTTCCGAAGTGCATCAAGATCCAAGAGCTTTTCTTCAACAACACTGAGCTGGGATGTAAAATTACCAATGACCTCGGTTTGTTCACTGTACTTGGCCTGCAGAACCTCTAGCTCCTTTACCTTTATCTCTGCCTCCTGCAGTTTGTTTAGCGTGTCCTCCATTTCCACTAGGTGTTGGTCTTCTGCACTGTCCAGTCTGGCTTTGATGGCCTCCAGGCTGTCCTCCTTCTCTTTAATGATTTTCATCAGCTTGGCCTTCATGGTCTCCATCTCTTTAGCATGAGCAGACCGTTCAGAGTCCTGTTTACTCTGTAAACTTTCTATTTCGTGCTGGTAATCTAGTCTCAGTCTCTCAATTTGTGTCTTTAGCTCAGCAAACTCGGCCGAGTCCGTTCCGATCCCTTTGCTAAAGGACACCTTCAGCTCCTCCATTGCCTGCTGGTGGGATGCGATGGCGGTCTCCAGTTTAGACTTCCACAGAGCTATCACATCTGAGTTTTCTTTGTTGGCGTGGTCAAGCTTGCTTCTCAAGGACTCGTTCTCTTTGGAAAGCTTTTCAGTGGCAGTGTGCAGAGCCTTGATTTCCTTCTGAAACACCTCTTCCCGAGCTCCAAAGTGGTCCTTCAGAGAAGTCATTTCGCTCTGGTGGTCAGTATGTGTGGCTTCTAGCTTTTCTTGCAAAGCGCTTATTTCTTGCAAAAGAGAAAGAGACATATCCACGTCTCCAGGAGGTTTACTGGACTCTAGCCTTCGTCGGAGCTCAGCTACTTCCTGTACTCTCAACGCTAGGTCCTTTTCTAGTTCCATTATTCGGGATTTTTCTGATACTGTAGCCACCTATTAACAGTGGTCATAAGAAATAGAAAGCACTGATGATTTTCCTTACCTAAAAAACACCCAGAGTCAAGCCAAGTCAATCTATCACATGTAGGGTTAACACTGAGATAACAGCTCAAGCTCAATTCTGGCACCTCTACGACATAATTATTATAATCTTCAACAAACTCCCACCATTCTGAAATCTCACGTGGATATTGAGTTTACCTCACTCAAACAATATCTACCTGGATTCTAAGGAAGACGCTTAAACCGGAAGTACTCATTAACTGATCAGAAGTTCACAGAAACAGTAGCTCCCATAGTGCTCAGTAACCCACCTGCCTCACGGGAGCAAGAGTGCTCACCTGGTCAGTTTGTCCTGCCTTCCTTACCCAGACTGCATCCAGTAGCGCTTCAGGTGCTACGCTGCCTGAGGCTGGTGATTAAAGCCCACTGTGCACACACAGTCACTAGACACAGGTGGCTGAGCCCTGAAATGTGTCTCATCTGAAGCAAGATGTACCACGAGACACACATTAGGATTTGAAAACTCAGAGAAAAACAGGCATAAAATATCTTAATGATTTTCATAGTCATTGTACAATAAAATAATATTTTTAAATAGACTGGGTTTTATATATTATTCAAATTAATTTCACCTGTAACTTATCATGTGCGTATCAATCAGAAAATTAAGATTCTGTTTACGTGGCTAGCACTCTACTTCTGAGAGATAGCAGGTAGACTAAAAGCCTCAGTTGAGTAAAGAAGACTTTACTGGCTTTTTAAATGACACTAAAAGATCACGTACCTGTAGTTATACATTAGCCTCTCGCACAAAGACCCCTTCTGGCTTTTGTAACTGTGTCTGCACTCTGACGTTTGCATCTTGTTTCCCTAACCCAGTGGTTCTCAACAGGAGCACACACAACTGGAACGTTCACCTAAGCTGCACGGGTGCCTCATCCACAGACTTTTTCTATCTGAGCTCTGGAGTTTAAAAAAATAAATACTCCAGAGGCAGGGGAGTCAGCTTGTGCCTTTTCTTACAAACATTTTTTCTACTGCTACTTCCCAGGCTCTCAGTGTGGAACGTGGTATCTTAGGACATAAAGACCATTTAACTAGCCTGGGAAATAGAAGGGAATACAAGTAGTTTTAAATACCAATGGTCCCAGATTTCAAGAACCAGCCTCTTCCTACTTTCAGATCCCTGCCCATTTGCCCCTATAGGGACAGAAAACACAGGACAAGTGTCTTCCGCTTCCTCTGTCCACCCCAGCATGTTGTGATGCTCAGTAAAATAAATGCCCAGAGAGAAGAGGGAGGAAGGCATCGCACAGTCACTGACTGTTCTGGAACTGACTATGGTTGTGGGACTTTGTGGTTATACAGATGTTTCAGATTAAACATGTTAATTCATTTATATTCTGGTCTCTAGGGAGGAGCGGTCCATCAATTTCTTACCGACAACTAACATATAAAACATCAATGAACCCCTTTGCCACAAGATCATAGCAGAAATAAATCAAAGCCAGTAGGTCCATTCCCAGTCACCATGGAACTACCAAATTCAGAGAACACCAAGTAAAAAGCAATAGGGTGGTGGTTCTCTGTGTGGCGTTCTGACTTTTCCTTTTTAAATTTGATTTCCCAGCATTTGCCCTCAGTTATATTTCTCCTGCCGGTTGTTGGCCATAAAAGTCAGGAACTGCTTCTTATTCTTGCTCCTATTTCTCTCGCACCAGGTGAGCTGGGTATAAATTGGATTTACAGGCTAGAGGGGAATTCTAAAACGCTTCCTGAAAAGGACTGTAGGAGATGTGAGAAGTCAATGGACCACTGGTTCTCTTCACACGTGGCAAACCAGGAGTGAGGGCCAAAGAAGACGCTGCTTGTTATGGAATGCTATAGACTCTAATTTGAAATGGCCCCATTAAGTCCATTTGAAAATGGATGCCTTATTATCCAGCATAAAGTCAGAAAACATTGAACCTGTTTGCTGACTAAGGCCTGGGAGAAGAATTTAGAAGTAAAACTGTGTGTTTCCTTACTTCAGTTACATCAGAGGGTCTCTGTCTCGTAAGTCCCTTGGATTTCCAAGATCAAGTCTTTGGCACCAAAGCATCACTTACTCTTTTCTCCGTCTTTCTTTTTTTTTCTTTTTCTTACCAAATCCATGTTCATTTCTGAGGCCAATTGAAACCATTTTCTTTCTTCTCTTTTTGCATTTGTTTTTTTCAGACAGGGTCTCACTTTGCAGTGAGGCTGACCTAAATCTATGTGGGCCAGGCTAACCTTGAACTTGTGGTAATTCTCCTGTCTCAGCCTCCCAAGCGCTAGAATTACAGGCATGAGCCACTATGCTCAGCTTTATTTATTTACTTATTTATTATTTTATTTTTACACAAGCTTGTCTGTGCATAGGTTTGTGTGTGTGTGTGTGTGTGTGTGTGTGTGTACAAAGACATATATAAGCCAGATGACAACCTCAGGCGACCTTCCTTGGGCTCTTTCCTGTGTTTTTGAAACAGGGTCTCTCACTGGCTTGAAGTAGACAAGACTGGCTGGCTGGGCAGCAAGCTTCAGGAAACCTGTCTCTGCCTCCCCGGGGCCGGGACTACAAGCACGAACCACCAGGCCTGGCCTTTTTTTACATGGGTTCTGAGGACTAACCCCAGGTAGGTCCTCATGCTTGCAAAGCAAATACCTTACCAAATGGTCTGTCTCCTTACCCTTTTTTTCTTTGTTAAAAACCAAAAAGTTATGATTGAGAATAGGAAGATTATCTACTTATCTAAATTTTTATATCAATGATTTCACACCAAAAGAAATTTCTACAAATACTATTGATTCAAAAGAAAAGTCAGGGTAACAAATTTGATCAGATAGATACAAGTAATTTTTGGAAATTTAAAGTTAAGGCAGACGTGATTTAACAGGTACATATATGAATATATATATATGTATACATTTACATGTGAGTGATTCTGATTACTTATTTTAGCACAAATCAAAGATTCCATCCTATAGAAGTTATGAGCACAGACTCTGGAGCCAAATGATCTAAAAGGCAATTCTGGCTACACTACTATTACTAGCTGTGAAACCTTAAACAAAAATTTTAACATCTTTGTGCTTAGAGTCTTTGCTCTGCAAATGTCTACAGAAATGGCGAGAATAATACAACCTATGTCCAAGGATGACGAAAAAGCTGAAGAATAGTTACAAAGCTCTTAGAATGAGTGGCACGGCAATTCTCTAGGTGCTTTAATAGATAAACAATTAAAACAGGACCAAGGCCCTGGCCACAAAAGGAGTCATTCTTTTCCCCACACATCTGAACTTCCTAATCGCTGAGATTTTAATCTGGGTGTCAGATAGAAAGGAGATGTAAGTTTAGCCATTAAGGGGGTGGGGGTGGAAAAAAAGAAAAGAAAAAGATAATTGGGGTCAAGGTTCTTAATTCTCATTTAAAAAAACAAAAACAAAAATGAGCTAATGTTTCCATTTCTTTTTTTCCCAACAGGCCAGGGGCAAAGGCAGGAAAAAGCATAAATTATTTAGGAAACCCAGTAACTCGGAATATGAGAACTGGAGGACAACTGACTGCTTGTGGAAACTGGAGAGGAACTGTTTCAAAGTACTAATACAGAGAACCTCAAATCCCACTGGGGAGAACCATGGAGTTATATGGTTAGAAGGCTTCTGATCTTGATTTCGGATAAGTTTATGTTTGACAAAATGCTTTACACAAAACACCTCATCACTCTATGCTCACAAATACCTGAGCAGTACTGAGACAAAACTCAGGCTGAACCACTGGGTCAAGGCGCAAGCCGACAGCAGGCCTGTCGCCTGTCGTCACCTGTCACCCGACGTGTCCACCACTCACACTTGTGAAGCTGCTTCATGAAATAGTGAAAGCCGTTACCCTAGTGTCTTCTAACTCCCTCTGGAGTTTGTCAGCTTTGGTCTTTTCAAAGAGCAGGCTCTGTTCAAGCTCCTTAGTGCGGGCATGCTCCAGTTTGGTCTGCGTCTGTTAGTAGAAGGGAAGAGGAGAAGAACACAACAGTGCCGCCATGACACGCCAGCACGGGAGGAGAGAGCGGCATGCAGGCCGAGCCACCAGTACTTTCTGCCACAGGACAAACAGAAAGGGGAACACAGAGAGAGGATGGAGCTGCCAGGGAAAGGAGGGAGTGAGGGTGGACACTATGAAGAGAGGAGGAAGGCGGGAGGAGGGCATGAGCTAGTCTGTTGAGAAAGAAAAACATGGAAAACACATGAGGCAGGATGAAGTTTCAGATGCATGCAGCCAAAGATATGTTATCTTGATAAGTGAAGTTTATCAGCACAAATTAGAATAGTTAATACTCCCCTAACTATCATCTCCCCTCCCCCGCAATGGCTACTTGACATTAATGTGTATGTCACTGACACAGGGACTTCACAAGGCTGTTTGACCCTCAAAAAGATCATCACTTTCACCTATGTATGGAGGAGACAATGCCATGAATCTTCAAGCATTCAGTAGGTCCTCAGAGCAGACTGCTGGACCTGGCAAACAATGTGTAATAAAAAAAGGGCAAAGGGCTCATCTTAAGATGAATCTGGGCTGCGTGTGATGACTTTGGCCAATAGTGGCTTAAGCCTATAATCCCAGTGCTTTGGAGCCTGAGGCAGGAGGATTGTGGCGAATATTTGGCTAGCCTGGGCTAACATAATGAGTTCAAGGCCTGAGCTATAGGATAAGACCTGTATCAGAAAATAATTATACATAAATGAACAAATAAAATAGGCTCTAGAAGGCAGCACCAAGGCGCTCAGCAGTGGTGTCTGCAGAAGTGGGTGATGCTTTCTGGTGAGCTTCTCCACAGCAGAGCAAGGCCACAGAAGCTCTACTTTCCTCCCAACTGGGAATTTTCAAAGGCTTAACTATCTGTGGAGAAGAGGGGAGGAGTCAAGATCACAAAGACAGTATTTGGTAAAGATTACCCACCACTGCCTCTTCCTCTGAAAAAGCCAATTAAAGCGATCAGAGCAAGAGAAAAGTTAAACTCCAGATATAAGGGACTATTTTTATCCTAAAATGAAGTTGTTCTTTACGAGCTCAGAAGATAAGAAAGGATGGCAACGTAATCCCGATGAGAGACCTGGTGAGATCTTAGGGTGAGTGGGACCAGGAAACCTCACTGTTGCTGTGACTTCCTTTCCACAGTCAGTTACCTGGCTGGGACCTAGGAGGAGCTCTCTGTTTAACAGACTCAAGGGTGGCCAAATCTTGCTCCACTTGAAATAATTGTGATACTGGTCTAAAGAATCTTCCCCCACCATCTCTCTAACCCAACTGTCACTGCAACAATTGACAAATGCTGTAAGGGTTAACTTAAGAGGTCTACCAATCTGGGCAGTGAGAATATGACAGAAAGGCTGTAACAAAGTGACACCAACTACCACCAAGCCTGAGGAGAAAGCCAAAGCTACGGACATGTCCTCTGGTACTCTGGTGTCTTTGATGCATTCAAGGGATCACTAAAAAGGACATTAAAAAGGAAAACAGAACACATTTTTTGAGACAGGATATCATCACACAGTCTTGGTTGGCCTGAAACTCTGTAGAGCAGGCTAGTCTAGATCTCAAAGATATCCTCCTGCCTCTGCCTCCTGGAATTGAGGGCATGCACCATCACACTCGGACAGAAGACATTTGTTCCTTTACATTCTTCACCTACACTCTCTACATTCTGAGATAATGAGACACATTTCAAAACCTAATAGTCCCCTGTATCCACATGTGCTGTCAAGAGAAACTGTTCAGTATTCTCCTTTTACAAGAAAATAATTTAATCCAGATCTACAAAGTTGGGGCTACAGCTTCAGGAATTCACACTAAAGGAAGCAGTAAAAGAAAATAGTCTCTTATTTCTTTGACCATGAATTAGGTCACTCACTATGTGCAGATAAAAAACAAATATCCAGCCAGGCATGGTGATGCAAGCCTATATAGTCCTAGCACCTGAGGAAGCAGAGACAGGAAAATCAAAAGGAGGAGGCCAGGCTATATTGCAAGTTCTTGGCCAGCCTAGATTACATAGCCAGAGCCTATTTAAAAAAAAAAAAAAAAAGACAAGAGAGGTGGCTCTTACTTGCAATTGCAGCACTGAGCAGCCTGAGGCAGGAGGATCACCACAGGTTTGAGGCTAGCCTGGGCTACAGAGTGAGACCCTGTCTTTTAAAAAGAAAGGAGAAAACATCTATGTACTATTCCCTCAGTTCAGACCTTCCAGCTGAGTGCAGCAAACCACCCACCCCACATTTTAGAAGGGGGTGCTCCACAGTGGACTTTCAGTCAGTAGCAAGGGAGCCAGTGATTCACCTCCATGCCACAGCCTGTGGTAAAAGTGTGACACTGAACAGAACAGCCTGTTAAAATCACTGCTTTCTAAGTCTAAGGTGTGGTATCCCAAGAGGAAAGTCCTGGGACAGGGCTTGGAAGGAGAGCAAAGGCCTTGCGAGAAGCGCACAGAGAGGCAGGAGGAGGTCCCATGCACACTGACACTGGAGGCAGCGAAACCTGTTCTGGATGGAGAGAAGAAAGAGACCCAGATCACTGAAGTAGCTTCGCAAAAAGGAACCCCTTATCAAAATGTCAATGTGAGTTCTCTATTTCAGCTCAATAGATGGTAAGAAGTAAAAGAATTCTTTGTTCCAATTTTGTTCTTTTGAGCCTGTTAATCAAAGCAAAAGGTTTTGGGTCTTCTCCACTGGCAGCATAGCTGGCAATGTGTACAAGAATCAATGCTCTGAAGGCCACTTTGGTAGTCTGTAGGAAGAGGGAGAGCCAGCACCACACACATGGTAGCACTGCTGCTAGGAAAAGCTCCCTCAGTGAGAACAACCTAAAATACCCTGTATATTCAGGGAAGAATACTGGCCTCTACTTGAAGATAGAGGGGAAATACTGTAGCCATAAACGGAAGCTTTATCAGCTGCTCTGGCTAGCAGTGGAAGTGTGCACAAAAGCAACCGGAAGCAACGAGGCTGGGAAGGTCAGACCACTTGGGAAGTGTCTCCCAGCATTCCCACAGCTCCTCCGTCTAAGGTGTTTTATGTTTCCCTCAGGTGTCTACCAAAATGAGAAACATTAGGAATGGGGTGAAGGAGGCCATGCCCTCAGATAATTTCTTTCCTTTTCAGCAAAACGTCTTTAAATATTTACCTATCAGTAGTAACAAATGAATCCACAGAGCCGAGTCAGTACATACAGTTTCTTGAAGATACAAATGCATTTGCTTTGAAAGTCACATGCATAGAAATACTAAGGGAAAAGTCCCCAGGTCAGATTATGCAGTTAGTATTTGAGTGTATCAATAAGCATTTTAATCTGGAATCAATCTGTGTTAAGGGACATATCCACACAGTTAAGTGCCCTCTTACATTCTCGGGATCTTCAGAAATCTGGCTCTTTTGCTATCAGTAAAAAAATAAAAAAGTAAACAACAACAAAAAGAGATTCAACTAAAGTTTCAATCTGTGTTAGGGTTTCAATATAACTTTATTTGATTAATTTCTAGTAAGTTTATCAGACAGACTATACTGGCCTACTGCTAATGTAAATATCTTAACTCTCAGCCTTTCCCAAACCCCAGAGGCAGCAATTCGTATGAATTAGGTGATGAGATGAAATTTCCAATGAGACTTTGGATGTTTTTAAATGGATGACAACACAGAAGTCAACTAAAGGAGGCGACTACATGTGAATGAGTGAAGAAGGTTTCTATTAAATTATCAAGAAGCCATTAAAATCTAGACCTTATAAAATTAGAACTCAGAAAATGTTTTTCTTTACTCTTTATTGACTATAAAGATACATTTATTTGCAAGGAAATCAGAGTTGTCTGGAAGGACTCCAAAAATTTAAGCCAACAGACTCCAAAATCCTGATGGTGGCAAAAAAAATCATACATACATACATACATACATACATACATACATATGTATATATATTCCTTCTGCTGGACATGGTGATGCATGACTGTACTCTCAGCACTTGGGAGGCAAAGGCAGATTGCCATAAGTCTGAGGCAGCCTGATTTGCGCTGTGAGTGTCAGGCAAACTAGAGAGGCCACGTCTCTAGCTCCTCCCAAAATCCAAAAGCTGTATAGACAAGTGCAATCTTCACTGAAATGCTATGAAGAATCTTACAGAATCTTCAAATTTTGAAAAGTTAATGTTTATTTTGTCATATATCTGGCAGTGACTTAAAAGCAGCAAAATCATTTAATAGCAGTAATTCAAAACTAATATGAATAATTGTTACAAAGGTAAGAAACCCATTATTACAGGAAAATTGCTGACTTTCGAGTATGCCATAGAAGTGGCATAAATTGTTCCTGGTTTTTGCTTTGGTAACTACATTACTTTAAAAAGCAACTGTCTAATTCCTGGTCCCAAAAGAATAAAATAAACGATGAGAACACGTCATGGACTTTTACAGGGTTATAAAGGATTTATTTTGCTCCACAAAAGAACAAAGCTGAACCACAGCAAAACTGCTTTGTTAGTATGATTATGTCAAAATTAAGTCCTTTTTTTTTTTTTGAGACAGGGTTTCTCTGTGTAGCCCTGGCTGTCCTGGAACTCACTCTGTAGACCAGCCTGGCCCCGAACTCAGAAATCCACCTGCCTCTGCCTCCCAAGTGCTGGGATTAAAGCCGTGTGCCACCACTGCCCGGCAAAATTAATTTCTTTTAAAATGCTATTCCCACCATCAGAGGGACCAGGAGAGTCTTACTTAAGACTGCTTTGAGGACACACAGCCAGATTTATGACTTGATTAAAAGCCAACTCGTAGCTTCTAATTTTGAAGCATGAGAAGAGGTATGAGCATCTTAATTTGCCACATGAACACCGAAATCACAGGCTCAAGGACCAAACCATCACCTTAGTACCACCCAAGTGGGCCAAGGCAGGATGCTGCCATCCTCGTGACTGACTGTTCTGACAAGGATCAGTTGGCCCAGTGTGCCACTCATATTTCTCAATACTGGCAATCATAAGGGCTTTAAAGATCTGGAAGGGTTTACCTCAAGATCGCCTTTGGTAATTGATTCTTCTTCAACTCGGAACTGAAGGTCCTCAACCTTCCTGTGGGATAAAACCAAACAAGGCACTAAGGAAAGCACTAAGGAACACCTTACCCCAGTGAGACCACAAGCAGTACCCTGGTGAATTCAGAGGACAGCAATGCAAACGAACACCTTAGAGACTTAGAGAACAAAGGCACGAATCTTTAGGGCACTGGTGCATAAAAGCTGTGCTGTCATTATTTAGAAATTCCAAACTCTAGAAAATATTAAGTAAAAAGAAATTGAAAACAAAGAAACAAGAAAACAAACAAAAACTTTTTCCATTGGGCATATACACCAGAATGAGTCAATCAATCAAAATAATATCAGCCTTAAAGTAAAATACTTGCTTACCAAAGAAATAGTTTCAGATTATACGTATATGAAATCTACTTTGTGTGTGTGTGTGTATGTGTGTGTAAGAGAGAGAGACAGACACAGAGAGACAGAGAGACTATATCTTCCTGCATGCTGTAACGCAGACATATACCACCCCCACAGGTTTGTAGGTTTATTTTTTGGATGAGAGAACATCCTATGCCTAGTGCTTCTTCATCCAATGATTATGGGCCTAATGGTACAGACCTACAATTCTAGCTATTTGTGGTGCTGAATCAAGAGGGTCATGAGTTCAGAGCCAGTGCAGTCCACTTTGTAAGACTGTTGTAAAACAGGAAAACAAAAGGGCTGTGGGCACTGACTGTGGTGGAATGCTTGCCAAGCGAGTGTGAGGCTGTAGGTTCCGTCTCTGGGAAGACAGGGAGGAATGGCAGTTGCTTGTAAAGAGCCAAACTTCTCTGTGTTTATCTCACATCATTAGCATGTGTGTTCATTTGACCTGAAGAATTCTCCAACTGTTTTACATGTGACAATTTTGTTCTCCAAATAAGGCCAGCTTTCTCGAGGATAAAGGTTTTTCATAAAAGCTAAGTAAGTGAAACCGGTCTGGGGTTTCCTTTGATAATGCTGAGTAAAGTGATTCTCGGGACAAGTATTCAGTGACAATAAATCTCTGTTAATCCAGTCATACTAAATAATACCAGGCTTCCTGGGAAAGTTACATCAAAGCACCTCTTCACATAGCAGAGTTCAGCTTCTACTCAACAGCCTTCCTTTGGCTGACGATAAATTTCTTGCTAAGACATCATTGAAAAGGCAAAGCCCACACTCAGGGATCACCTTTTCTCCTCCTCCAGCTGGTTGAGGAGCTCCACCTTCTCCCTGTCAGCAGCTTCTACCATGGTTCGTAGCTGGTCCATCTTGGCCTCTAGTTCCAGGACATGCTGGGGAAAGAAGGATGTCAGTGAGTAGCCTGGGATACCTTCAAACAGGTATAGATAAATGAGACCACGAAGGGTGAGCATCACTCTGGATACAGTCTAAAACTATCTTGGTAGGTTATTCCTGGCAACTTTCCTAGAAACTAGATGACACAAAAACAAACAAAAAAACCAAAACAAAAAACCATCCCACATCATATAGCAACAGAGGGCAACAGTAAAACAGGTCTCACCTTTTCCAATACCGAAACGTGTCAGTAATAATCTACAAACAACACCTGTAATCACTAACGTCTCAGTAATGCGCAGTTAACACAGACAGACTCAAAGCCTAGACGTGACGACCAAATGGCTACGGTGAAATGGAGACGAACAGAGCTTTATGGTGACGAAAACGGGCGCGCAGACCGCAGCTTTTCAACAAGCTCAGAGAAGAAATTGATACTCATTTCCTAGGTTCAAATCCAACTCCCTGGCTCCAAACGCCAGGCACTCTTTCTAACCTCATCACTCAATTTGGAAACCACCACCATAGGCACAAGATCAACACCAGTCTTCACCTGGTCATGCCCATCTCGGGCCAGGGCTAGCTCCTGCTCTATTTCCCCCACGTGGCTGGTAGCCTTGGCCACCTCGGCCCGCTCCAGGTCCCGCTCAGCCAGCAGCTGTTCAATGTGCTGCTGCTTCTCCTTCAGCGCCTCCTGGAGGGCAGTGGTGCCCGAGATCTTGCGGGCGTAGCGGGAAGAGGTTTCAGTCAACTGCAAAGGAAAGTCAGAGAAGTCAAGGACGATGATGCGGTCCAGGAGGAAAGGAGCGAACAACGCATGCGTAGCAGACATCGCCTAAGCAAAGCAAAAATGCTGCCCCAGCTTGTGGGTTTGTAAAATATTAGACAAAGTTCTCACCAAGAAAGTAAGACCTCACTAAAAAAAAAAAAAAACATACCGATAAGCAAGCTCACAGCAAAGTTCAGAAGACATTTAGAAGACGGATATGTAGTTTAAACATGGGCACTCTGAGCTCGGCTGACAAGGTCCGTAGGGATCTAGACAGTTTTCACAAAACCCATTTTAAAAGTTTCTCTAAAGTGGCTCACACCCAGGACTCCAGAGGCTGAGGCTGGAGGGCTACCCGTGAGCTAAAAGCTAGCCTGGCTACAGAGTAAGACCCTGCCTAGAAACAAAACAAAGCAAACCATCCCAAGGTTCTTTAAACTACTCCAGCCTGAGCTATGGTTGTCTTCTGCCGATGACACCTGGCCAGCCATTTGATTCTTGGTCTTAAAGCTGAGAGTCGTTAACTACCAGTCTGCACTAAGAAATGAAAGCATCACCCTTAGAGTCGCATCTTTTTGCTGGGTTTTCGTTAGGATCTTTCTCATCTTTCTTTGCAAAGGAAAAATTTGGGTGATATCGCACTGGAATCTGGCCTCTAGGACCTGAATCCCAATCACTAGATAATTAAGACTTAAGAAGGGAAGTCTGAGTAAGGAAAGTCAGTCAGACACAGACAGACAGACAGACAGACAGACAAGCATACACACACAGAAGGAAAGGAAAGGAAATAGAAAGAAAGGAAAAGAGAAACCTATGGAGAAAAAGAAATGGTAAGTGGGAGGGAAAGAACAGGGCAACAGTGAGACAGGAAGGAGGGAAGAAGGAAGACAGGAAGTGGCAGAGCCAAAGGCTAGGGGACCCTGAGAAAGACGGTGTCTCCTTGTCATCTATCAATCTCTGTCGGTTCACATACATATCCATCTGTAAGCTAACAGCCACATTAAGTCCAATTAAGGCGAAATGAATCTGCATAAACAGCAGCAGGTAACTGGGCAAAGTGAATGATATTCCGGTCTGCAGGCTCCCATGGGCTCTGCAGGCTGGGGCAGTGTTTGGACATGGCCCCATCCTTGGCAAGCATTGGTCCATGGCCGTGATTTAGTTGCTGGCTCCAGATCAATCCAGCCTTTGCTTCTTCTGCAAACAAAGTGTCATCTGTCACTCGAGTGCTCTCCATCAGTCTGTTGAGCCCTCATCTCAGGGAACGAGCAGTGAAAATCTTCATCAATTAACAATCCAGCAATTTGATGACTATGAGAGCAAAGGAATCCAATCAAACCCACACTACCTTTTGTGGCTCACTTTGTGGAATTTCTTGAATTACTGAAACATACTGAGAGCAAATTCCAGGTCTCTCTTTTTAACATTAGATCAGCTTGCCCTCTTCACTGCATGGTTAAGTACATGAGGTCGCCAAATCATGTGCATAGCTATGCCTCAGAGGCCCTGAAAGCTCACACGGACACCAAAGGATATGTAAAATCCCAAAGAAATGCAGAGGTTGCTGTTTTTACATGAAATGTAAGTTTCAGTTTCAGCCTGTAATCGACTCCATTCAACAACACTATGTCTGCAAAGCTGGGTATTGGCAGTTGTGAAGACAAAAAACATATTATGCACCAATCAGAGCCGCACAAGAAATGAAGGTACAGTGATAAACAGGATTCCAAGGTTCAAGAAGATGTACAGAGCCCAACAGGAGCATATTCCCTAATGGTAAGACACTACAGTTACTGAAGAATTCATTTAAAATACTCACTTGTCTTGGGACCTGGTGACATGGCTCAGTGGCTAAGCGTGTTTGCTGAGAAAGCATGAGGACCAGAATTCTGATTCCAAGCACTCAGCTAAGAAACCAGTGTCCCACAAATGCCAGCTCCAAAGCACCCAACACATACCCACATGCACGTACACACACATACAAATGAATATTCAAAAAAATACTAACTTTTCAGCTTCCGCTTTCCCTGGACAGAAATATACCTCTCAGGAACAAGCTAAAGCACATTGTTTCATTTCCCCATTATAGTCTTTCAGTAATTTTTATTAGAAACTATAGCTATCCCACATAAACACACCAAGAAACAAAGCTGTGTCACAAGATAAGGAGACTTATCTATTTGACAATCATCTTCAATAAGTCAGGTGAGCTACGAGAAATCAGAACTTGTCTGCTAAATGTTAGTAGGAGAGCCTGGAGGATGCGGAGAGCTTGGTACTCCCCAAAGAAATGGACATAATTTACAAGAAGCTGAAAGTTACTCAAGGAAAGAGCTCCTCCAGAGCAGACACAGCCGTGGAACTGTTCCTAGAACAGCAGAGTAGATGTTCATGTTGGGATGTGTTGAGTCTTTCAGAAAAAGGCTTTGTTCTTCACCTCCATTCCATTGGTCCTGAGGCTTTTTTTTTCTCCTGAGAGACATTTTTAATTGTACTGTTAAGATTATAAACTCAAACAGTTGGAGAAGTATATATTTTACCTGTATATAAAAGGAAGAAAGTGCAGCTGGCCGGCAGAGGGGCATGATAGCCACTGAGAGACTTCACCGCCCCTCCTTTCTCTTCCTGACCGTGATGCAACAGAAGGTAGATGAGATCAAGGATGGAGACCCTAGCGCTGGAGTCATCATCTAACTAACTGTGGCCTTGAGGTCCTGACTCAGGTGGGAGTAGACTCTTGCTGACACTTCTGATGTATACAGCATCTGCCTAACTTCCAAGAAATGAAATCAAGGGCAGGGAGTGACATCCAAACAATCTGAATAATACACCATATTGACAGAAACAACATGGTGGTATGTAACTTCAGCAATTCCACTTTTCAATGCTCCAAGTGGGGAAAGGAGAGGAGAGAAAGGACCAAGACAAAGACAAGAAGAAAGAAAACAAAACATGGCCCTTCCTAGCATCTGTAAGTTCCAGAAGGCCCCCTCTGAATCCTCTGGCCTACATAGGAACACTCCACACATTTGCTGTGGGTTAGTCTACTCTGATGATATAAAGCATTAAGTTATCTCAAAATACATTGGTCCCTAAAATTTTTAAAAATCAAAGAGAAAGAGACCTACATACATGACGAATGGGATACCTCCAATTTCCCTGTCATTTGGGCTGAAGTAATTTCACAGAATAAATAGTAATTACACAGATTTCTCAAGAACTGGAATACATTAAAGCTATTATGAATGAAAGTGACACTAAAAGAAAAAATCTTATTTCAAAACCCATGTCCTTGCAGGGACTTCCACAACAAGCTATGGGCAACACTGAGAACACAGACAAGCAAAGCAGAGTCCTGGCTGTAGGCATGTGGGGCCTCAGGAAGGGGAGGCTTACTAGTCCTGATCGGCTGGGCTTGCTGCTCACAGAGGAGGCCACAGAGCTCATGGAGCTGAGGGAGGAGGCGGAAGGGCTTCGCTTCAGACTGGCGGGCGTGGTGGCCATCACCCGCCTCACAGCAGCGGCTTTAGCTTTGGCTGGGGTAGTAGAAGGGAAGCCAATCTTTGTCACTTTGTGGACAGGAGCGAACAATCCATACTTGGGTTGACATTGAAAATACCTTTAGAGAACAGTAAGAGGAACAAGTACAACTTAATTACAAAAAGTGACAGCTATAACCAAACATTCTTTCAACTCAAAATGCTTGCGATTATGTAAGGACAAAAGTCATGTACTATGTGATAAATGTAAGCAGCTTAGCAACATAGGGACCCCCACTTAAAGCCACACCGTCAAGACAAATCAAACAAGACCCTGACTCTGGAAGAGCCACCTAAGTAAACTAGAAATGTCAGCCATCGGAGGATACCAGAGACTGTGCTGGTGCTTCAGTAATGGGAGAGAACGGCTTAGCGGGTGGGGACGTGGCTCAGTGGTGAAGGCTGGCCTTCACGTGAGAGACGCAGTGTTTGGTTTTCGATACACAGGAAATACACAAAACAGTGAGTAGGCTTGATGGCTTAACTGTTTTACTAAGAGATATTTAATCTTTATCTCTGTGAACAATGATGTTTGGCAGATTAAAGTCCATACACTTATATATGGTTTATAGGTCCATGTTAACTAGATCATGTCATGATCCGTATACTTTATACCAATAATAACAATGTATCGGGCTGGAGAGATGGCTCAGCGGTTAAGAGCACTGACTGCTCTTCCAGAGGTCCTGAGTTCAAATCCCAGCAACCACATGGTGGCTCACAACCATCCGTAATGAGATTCGATGCCCTCTTCTGGTGTGTCTGAAGACAGCTACAGTGTACTCATAAATAAAATAAATAAATAAATCTTTGAAGAAAGAGGTCCCTTTAAAAAAAAAACAAAAAAAAAAACAATGTATCATCTCCCATAGCAGCACCCAACAGTGTCAAAACATTTGAAAAGGAAACATTCTAAGCCAGGCATGACTCCATATCCTAAAATCTAAGCACTGGAACCACGAAGAGGATTATGAGCTTGGGAGCAGCTCTGGGCTCTGTGAGACCAGAAAACAAGGATGGGAAATCCCCATACACCCTGTGCTGGTGGAGCCTCATCTGTGCTACCAGGGCAGAGTGGGAGCGGTCTTACAACAGAGGGGGCTGCTTGACAGTCAACCCCTTAGCACAGGATGGGACTCTTATCAAACATGAAGACTCACTTTACAGTTCTTTTCCTGTCAAAGGCAGTTACTGTGACTCAAAAATAGATAGATAGATGGATGGATGGATGATGGATGGATGGATGGATGATGGATGGATGGGTAGATGGATGGATGGATGGATGGATGGGTGGGTGGGTGGGTGGATGGGTGGATGGATGGGCAGATGGATGATGGATGGATGATGGATGGATGATGGATGGATGGAAGGATGGATGGATGATGGATGGATGAGTGGATGGATGAGTGGATGGATGGATGAGTGGATGGATGGATGAGTGGATGGATGGATGAGTGGATGATGGATGGATGGGCAGATGGATGAGTGGATGGATGGATGGATGGATGGATGATGGATGGATGGGCAGATGGATGAGTGGATG